AAAGGAAAGTGTCACGGCTACGGAGAATCTTAAGATCAATTTCAGGGAAAAATATCAAACTGGTCGAACTATTGATTTTTTTGTATGTAAATAAACATACACATTTAAAATACATGTACCGGTATTAATAATTATATGATTATCACTGACCCAACACAATGCTAAATTTTTCAACAGAAAAAATAATTGACCCGAGATCCTGTTGAACCTGTTGTATAATCACAGCTGGAAGTTTGTGAAAATTGGCATCTAATAATAGGAGACCAAAATGTTTTAGTTCAAAATGTGTACGAATTTTTCTGTTACTTATTATTTTCTGGTGGGTCAGCCTTACGTTTATGGAGTTACAACACTAAAATCCAAGGTTCAACTCCTGCAGTAGACAGAGTGCACATAATCCACTGTGTAGATTTGCAATAAAAAAACAACATGGACAGAATTTAGTAAATAATTTGAACTAAATCTGTTAAGCAAACTTCTTTCAAGATTTGTAGCTTTTTTTTATTCTTCGAGTGATCTTCTGACAGTTGGCTACAGGGTTAAGTGAAGTAAGTTCTTTAGTATTAGATATGGTTTTGAATGAACATGGAAGGTATAAGAATTTACAATACCTTAAACTAGAAATAAAAGTTCTTTGATTCTTTGCATTTGCATTGATCTGTTTGTTTGTTTTGGATGTCACGGCAAAGCTACACGAGGGCTGTCTGCACTAGCCGTCCCTAATTTAGCAGTGAAAGACTAGAGAAAGGCAGCTAGTCATCACCACCCTCTGCCAACTCTTTTACCAATGAATAGTGGGATTGGCCATCACATTATAACACCCCCCATGGCTGAAAGGGTGAGCATATTTGGTGGGATGGGGATTTGGACCCGCAACCCTCAGATTGTGAGTCGAGCGCCGAAATCACCTGGCCATGCCGGGCTGCAATGATCTGTATTTCAAGACATAATCCTATCATTGTCAACTCGTGCATGTGGAACAATACTTTAGACCAGTGGTCGGCAACCTTTTTTCAAGTGAGTGTAACATACACCTGAATCGTGTATATGAGTGAGTGTAGCATGCACCTGAATCGTGTATATGAGTGAGTGTAGATGCGCCTGAATCGTGTATACGAGTGAGTGTAACATGCGCCTGAATCGTGTATATGAGTGAGTGTAACATGCGCCTGAATTGTGTATATGAGTAAGTGTAGCATGCGTCTGAATCGTGTATACGAGTGAGTGTAGCATGCGCATGAATCATATCTGCATTTTCATACAAAGAATTTTAAAAATCTGGTTCAATCATAGCAGCTTCCAAGCTTTTGGTTTATTTGGATAATTGAGTTACATAATTTTAAAAAAAACGAGAAAGAGTGTCATACTTTTTGTTCCCTTTTACATTAAATTTGTAAACAAGGTTATCGAGGTAATATAAGGAACAATTTTTCTGAGAACAAAAAATGTCTGCATTTTGAGGCTATTTTATTGTAGCTTTTAAGTTGAAGCTTGTGATTTCACAAACTTTAATAAAATATTTAAACTTTTCTTTGCTCTAGACATATACATGATTCATACTACACTTACTCATATACATGATTCATGCTACACTTACTCGTATACATGATTCATACTACACTTACTCATATACATGATTCATACTACACTTACTCGTATATATGATTCATACTACACTTACTCGTATATATGATTCATACTACACTTACTCGTATACATGATTCATACTACACTTACTCATATATATGATTCATGCATATGCTACACTTACTCATATATACTTCAACTCTAGCTTACCTTCCAATCTCGAGCCTCAGCTGCTGCTATAGCCCTGACTTCTTGGGGATTGCTCACTACTCTACTGAACCTTCCGGTGAAGTCCATAGCCACTCTGGCTGTCATTTTCGTGTAGTCCTGTATCATATTAAAAATAATGTTTTTTAATCACACTTTTAATGAATTACATTTATCAAAAAATATAATTGATTATTCACTTTATGTTTCAGAGCAGATGTATAGGTTTACTTCCATCCAAGATCATTCTTTTCTCACTCAACTAGCTTTCTAATTTCCTCTTTTTTTGAAGCCAGCATTTCTTAACCTGAGGTGCACACACCCATTAGGGGTGTGAAACCTATCAGCATTTCCATTACAAATAGGGTTTCTCCCTCAGACTCTTGAGATCACTTGATAGCAAGTTGATGGTAAACTTTCTATACTTCTCAACTGTAACTATGCATCAATGGGCGTTATAAATTCTCTCCAAGCTAGTCGTTAAAGTTCCCACAAGAATGAAGCTTCTGTTATAACTGAAACCTATCTGTTCAGAACACAGTAATATAATACGTCAATCGATAGATGGAAACATTGATTTTCTATTGGCTATATATGATATATAACTAAATGTAAGAGAGAGAACTATTAACAAATCCCGAAAGGCAAGGGGTGTGAGGACATATTCTGTAAACCCAAATGAGTGCGGCTTCCCAAAAAAGTTAAGAACCACTGTTTCAAGCCAATAAATGAAGTTTATTTGACATAAATAAACAAGTTATAAGAACTGTATGTTTCTTAATTATCAGTAGATGTAATACGATACCAAAAACACGTGGTTAAACATACAATACATATGCCACGCACAAATATTCCTTTTGTTATCACTAAAATCTATAAAATAAAACAAATGTTTCATCATCTTTACTGTGGTTGATACTGCTCTGTTTGTTCATTATATATACATTTATGCTGTAAAGATGTTGAACGAGACAGAATTTCAGTACCTGTACTTTGGTGTATTTTGTTCTCCTTGTTTTTAAGTTACAATTAGGCTGCAATGTTCTGGACAAACACAACTACAAGTTCTGACTAAATTTTTTTAAATAACATAACAAATATCAGTTTTGTTTAAATGATACAGCTATATATTAAATCACTACAACAAACATGAATAACTGTCTATACAGCTTTATAAGGTGACTATTTGGAAGTTAGAGAATGTTTCAAAATCAGGGAAATTATTTTTTGGAAACACCCTATAAAAATTATTATATGTACAAAATTTAAAAAACAATTACCAATAAAGTTGTAATACATATATTTCATGTAGTAAGTTGAACAAGTACTATATATGTTGACTTAAAAAGCACTGTTGTCAACATGAAAATATTTCCATACAAAATACCATCACTAATAATGGTTCAAGACTTACCAACAGCAGATGGCTTTCATTTGTCTCTATACTGTCACCATATCTTAATTTCAGTTGTCTGTAGTTTTCCCTCAGTTTTTTGCCATACTTCATATTATGTAATAAAGAGTAATAATCAGTCAGTAAAATCTCTAAAAAAACTGCTTCCTTAGAAAAAAAAACACTTACTGTTTACATTTTGCATAAAAACAAAAAAACTGCCAACACACAAGTAACAAAAAACATGATGTCAATTGTATCATCCATGTTGTTCAACAGTAAAACACCCTTAGTATTAGTTCACTTCAATAAACACTCAGAAAATATTTGTCTAACTTTTTGTAAAGATAAAAAAACCTTGGGTAATTAATGACAAAATATATACAACATCCTGTTATATTTTTCGTTTACTAAGTTATTTATGTTTTCTCAGTATTACACAAGAGGTTTAGTTTAGTGTACCGTACACTTATCGTTGACTTTAATTGATCTCACCGCAACTTCTGTTGTTTTATCAGTATTACACCAGAGGTTCAGTGAATAACATGTACCACTTTACCTGTGTATCGTAACACTTACCGTTGACTTTAATTGATCTCACCAAAACTTCTGTTGTTCTATCAGTATTACACGA